CAAAACCACTTTGATATTCGCCAAGAAGCTCCTCTGAATATGCACTCAGGCGACTATATAAAATACTCGAAAATAGTTTGTATGCTGTATTAAAGAGGGTTATTCCCTATAGTTTCTACATTTCAATTGATTACCCTTGTTGTGTAGAGGGCAAACGATCCCAATACACCACTCTTACGGGATTTGTTCCTCATTCCAGGTTCTCAGTTTGATTTTATATACATATATGGTTAGTCAGAGTAGCACCTCCACATTTAATAAGTTCCGCGGGTATACCATCACTTCCTGGAGATTTATTATTTTTAAGGTGTTTTATTGCATCCCGCACTTCTTGAATTGATGGAGGATCCAATGGTGTATTGTTGCTTGCTCCTGGGGATGGTTGATTTGGATCTTCTAGTTCTTTCTAGGATAGTAAGTAGTTCTTTATAGTGTTCCACCCACCTTTTCAATACTTCTTCTTTTGTATTGAGTATATGCCCCTTCTTATCCTTATATAGTCCAATCCTTGGTTTAAATTCTTTTCTTGCATTACTTAGATTTTTATAGAATTTTCTTTTTTGTTTTTTTCTTTTTTAATGCCTCAAGTACTTCCAATATTCTATTTATAGAAGTACACATTATAATATTCTTATTATTTGATAACATTATAAACAAATTTGCAACTTAATTTTCGTCAAAAAATTAATAACGAGTGGCTCCTCCTTGATGTTCTATACACTCAGTTACTCTATGGGGCATTGATTGAATTAAATGGTCTATATCATAGAGATGTCGATTCTGATGTATACTTGTGTTTTATAGACTTTCAGAAGGCGTTTGACCTGGTGAAACATGATAAACTAATAGATATTTTAAGGTCATGTAATATCGACGATAAAGACTTAAGGATCATTTCAAACCTCTACCAAGAACAAAAGGCTAAAATCAGAATAAAAAGCGAAACATCTGGAAAAATCAATATAGAGAAGGGAGTAAGACAGGGATGTGTCCTATCACCTTTGCTGTTGAATGTTTACTCTGAGAATATATTTCAGGTGCCTTTGAAAGGCACCTCGGATGGTATAATTATAAACGGGCAATGTATAAATAACCTGCGATATGCTGATGACACTGTCATACTGGCAGATAATGCTGAAGCCCTGCAACGCTTAATGGACCGAGTAACGACAGTCTGTAGAGAATTTGGAATGAAATTGAATATAAAGAAGACAAAAACAATGGTCATCAGCAAGTACCAAAACAGAAGGGTGAATGTCAATGTCGACGGAACAGATCTGGAAAGAGTAACAAGAACAATGTACCTTGGAAGTAATCTTGATGAAACGTGGGACCACTCACTAGAGATAAGAATACACCTAAAAAAGGCACGTACAATGTTTTACAAAATGCAAAAAGTTCTATGCAACCGCCAGCTGGGCATCTCATTGAGAACTAGAATACTTAAGTGCTATGTTTTCTCCACCTTGCTCTATGGTGTTAAAGCCTGGACAATGACAGAAGCAACACAAAAAAGAATCCAAGCATTCGAATTCTGGTGTTACCGTAAAATGCTCAGAATATCCTACCTACTTAAGCATAAGCTCTCTTTCCTTTCCTATCAGAAAGGAAAGAGAGCTTATGCTTAAAATAAAAGAACAGAAAACACAATATTTTGGTCACATCATAAGAAATCAAAAGTATGAACTGCTCCAACTTATAATCGAAGGCAAAGTCAATAGCAAAAGAGGACCAGGAAGACGACACAACTCTTGGCTTAAAAACCTACAGCAATGGACGAACATGACCTCCATAGAACAATTCAGGGCTGCTACTTCTTCTTCTTCTCGTGCCACTCCTAGCGGAGATTGGAAATTATCATGGCCACTGCGACTTTGTTAGCAGCGCGCCTGAAAAGTTCAATCGAACTACACCCGAACCATTCACGTAGATTACGAAGCCACGATATTTTTCTTCTTCCCACACTTCTTTTGCCCTTAATTTTGCCCTGCATGATGTTTCTTAAAAGTTCGTACTTTTCACCTCTCACAATGTGCCCCAAGTATTCCATCTTTCTAGTTTTTATCTCATTTAGAATTTCGCATCTTTTGTCTAAAGTTTGGAGTACTTGCGTGTTAGTGACGCGGTCCATCCATGATATTCTGAGAATGCGCCTATAGCACCACATCTCGAAAGCTTCGATGTTTTTTATGGTCAACTGTTTTTAGTGTCCAAGCCTCAACTCCATATAACAGGGTAGAAAAGACATAACACCGCAGCATTCGTATTCGTAACTTTATATTGATATCACGATTGCAAAAGAGTTTGCGCATTCTATTAAAGACTGATCTAGCGATTTCTATTCTACATCTAATCTCTTTTGTTTGATCAGTATCGTCTGTGATCCAAGCACCTAGATATTTATAACAGGGCACACGCTCAATCGTTGTATTGTCTATTACAAGATTAGCTCTGATGTTCTTTGATTTCGTGATTACCATAAATTTAGTTTTTTTCAAATTAATTTTCAAGCCGTAACTGTTACAGTATATATTGAGACTTTGAACGAGATGTTGTAGTTCTACTAGCGTTCCCGTTGGGAGAACTGTATCGTCAGCATACCTTATATTGTTGATCGTCTCACCATTTATTATCAGACCAAGATCTTCTTCGTCGAGTGCTTGTTCACAGATAGCTTCACTATACAGATTAAATAAAAGTGGCGATAAGATACATCCCTGCCGGACTCCTCGACGGATTTGAATTTCTCCTGTTAGTCTGCCCTCAACCTTGACATTTGCTGTTTGATTCCAATATAGATTGCATATAATTCGAATATCTCGGCTGTCTATATTTTTCTTTATTAGAACTTGTCTTAGTGGTTCATGTTGTACTTTGTCAAAGGCCTTTTCGAAATCAATAAAGCAGGCGTAAATTTCTTGGTTCATGTCTAAGCATCTCTGTGAGAGAACGTTCATTGCAAACAGAGCCTCCCTTGTACCCAGCCCTTTTCTGAATCCCATCTGAGTGTTACTGATGTCTACGTCTAATTTCCTATAGATCCTATTATGGATTATTTTTAAGAACAGTTTTAGAGCATGACTCATCAAAGCTATCGTACGATATTCGTTGCATTCCTTTGTATTTGCCTTTTTTGGCAGTAGTATAAAGGTCGAACGGAGCCATTCCCTAGGTATTATTCCAGTTCTATATATTGTGTTAAATAGATCTAGGAGTATTTTAATAGATTCATCGTCCATAAGTTTGAGCAGTTCTACGGGAATTTCATCAGGACCAGGGCTGCTACAAATAAGATTAAATGGGCAAATTTAATGGCCAACGTCCTTAAGGATAAGGCACCGTAAGAAAAAGATCATATTGAGGAATACTCGTAAAGATTCTTTTTATGGCATGCCACAGGTCTTCTGAATTTGCTAGAGGACGTGGCAATCGATTTAGGTTTGGACCTACCATATCCCACACATGGTCGATACAAGATTCTCGTATGAACTTCATGGTTTCACGGGCAATATGAGTTCTTACGTTATCCTGTTGAATGATTTCATTTGGAATGGTTTTATACGTAGGGATGTAAAACCGGTTGAATGATTGACAACCACGACTCTTGAATAATTTTTTTTTGGGAACGTTTTTTTCTTGGAGATGGGTTTCTATTTTTGGTGGATGCTGCCGTCTCATCAACACCTTCTGTAAAATATACATCATCGTCCGATTTACATGACTAATTTATTGGATATTCAGATTCATCTTCGCTTGAGAAATGGGTTTCATTATCCGACGGAAAATATTCACTTTCACTATTCTCAAGGTATTTTCTTAGTTCCTCCTCCGTCAGAATGCGTTTTTTATTCATTTATAAAGCAACCAAAATGTGCCGACAAATGAAAAACAATTCAACCACTTCGGCAGAACGAATATAAACCAGCTGTACCGATCCCGATTCAACCACTTCAATAGAACGAATATAAACTGCTGAGCGACCGGTTGTATCACGGTGTGCAAATTTTTCCCGACAGCATACAATTTTGACAGTAAATTAATTATTACTACCACTCATTATTAACAACTGAATAGTGCACATTTATGCATAGGCATATCCTTTTAATGCATATTCCATTAACACTTTAACTGCCAGGCTAAATTAAAATAAGTTACGTTTACGCCAAAATTGTTTATCATGACAATCGACATTTTTTTAAAATTAAGAACGGTATGAGAGTTCACTTAATTGATTTTTGCAAATTTAGTATAATTTCATAATTGTGACAATGACGCACACGGCGTAGACTAGAACAAAATGGTTTGTACACTTTTGTGAGGCACACGTTAGCTGTGGGGAAATGTACTAAACTTTGCAGAGTAACATAGGTTAGCTCCTTATTTGGGACGCTCCTTCGATCTTTGTGTCATCTGAAGTTGTTGTAGGCGCATAAACTGATATGACAGTAAGTTTGAAATGGCCTTCTCTAACCAATGTGTCCAGCGACTTCTATGTTGTATCATGTCAATTCTCTTTCAACAATAATTGCTAGGTAGCTAAGGGTGTTTTCAGCGCTTTCATATACGGGTTAATGCTTGGGCCATATACTGATACTCGCATGTCTTAAAACTTTTGTAGCTGAATTTGCACACGATGCTCAGTCATTAACAATCGTCTGTAGGGCAGTTAATTTTTCACTATCAACCCGTATTTAATGTAGCGCCGGTCGTCACTCGACTGTGTAAAAATAAATCCGAGGTCCTCTGTTAGATGACATCATCATTGACTTTCTTGGGAATAATAATGTAGTGAATTCCCCTGCCCTTTTTCATCGCAATATCACAACCATTCTGATAATACAATTCCGCTTGTGTTAGTCCAATGATAAGTCGGTACAGGATCCTTCCCTATGTGCCTTAACTTGTTACTAGCGATCGGCACTCCCATATGTCTCCTTTCGGTCTGGGGTGTGGGATACGAGGGATACAAGTAAAAAACACAAAAAAAATAATATACATACCTCTGCCGAGGAACATTTCGTATGTTTTGAGACTACTGCTCCTTTAGTAAATACAAAAGGCTTGAACACTGATTTTGATGGGTCTGGTGTTGCTGTAAACCAGTGAACATTTGGTTGGCTACTTGATAACGAAGAAACCTACAATGAAAATATGAATATTTTTTTAAATTTATCAAGCGCTTCTTCAGGTACAGAGATAAATTGATATAGCAAATTATTTCGAATGGACGGAAAGAAAAAAATAGAGGAAGATAGCACTGTGCCAATGCAATATTTTTTTTTTGGCATTAGAAACAGATAATTAATAATCCAAATTTATAAACTTGCAAACAATTAAGAATTTCTACAAACCTGACTTCCTTGAGTTACGCTTCCTGGACTATCCACTGTCATGCAGATTCCCGACTCGGTATCCCGTAATAGTTTAAACATATCAGTTTCTTTGAAGCTGTTAGAAGCTGTCATACTACTCAAAAGTTTCTCCCCTGCTAGATATCTACTACCATAAGGTTTACTCTCGCCACAAAATATTTCTCGAAAATTAAATTCTCCCTGTAACAGGTACATAAAACATATTCAATACGGAAGGCTTTACTTAACTCACATTTTTGAATCGCAATTCAATGGCGATTGACTAATTTTAATTTAGAAAATATTTCTCTCCACCTTTGGTAATGTGATTTGACAGTTTGAGTTTACTTTAGTGATTTTCAATATTAAATCGCCCAAAAAGGGTAAAAGAAAATGTACTAAAAACACGATTATACTAGATAATACCAAAAGCTACAGCCAAAATCATAACAATAAAGAACTGATGACAGATTCGGATTCAGCGTAACTTATTTGGCGAAAGAAATAGAAAACACAAAGGTTTCAGTTCCGCTTCTGGTAAAACTAGAAAAAAAAATTACTGTTGACTTATGATAACTGTATATGATATAAATAGTTTTAATTTAATTTACAGTCCTAGTGGTAAGGAGATTGATTTGAAATCCATCGGGTTCATCGCATAAGATTTTTTGTTTTTATATTTGTATATAATTAATTAAACATGGGCAAATTAAAAAAAACGTATAGTCTAGCAAACAACAAAAAAATTAGTCATCCAAAATCACGTTTATAATTTATTATATTTATAATTATTTGCAAAAATAAATACTTTTATTGTTTAATTGTTTTTTCTTATGATTTATTAATTAATTATCATTTAAACCAAACAATTCAGATTCTACTTTGCAATGGCCTGTTATTGATTACTCAATAAAACATTATTCCAGTTATTTATACATTCGTATGAGATAAAAAATATTATATCACACCATTAAAAAGTTGCAAGATATTCGAAAGTTCGTTAATAAAACCGAACGATATTAGTCGAAACTTACTTTATCTTCATTGAAATAATTATTGATAAATATAAGGTTAGTTCCACATTCATGTCGTCCAATATAAACTCACTTCAAAGATAAACAAGTAATAAGAAACTATAAATAAACTGGCCAAACATATTTCACGATAGAGAATAATTGTTCGTCTTTTATTAAATATGAAAGAAGCAAAATAATGAACCCGCTAATAAATTCGTCATTTTTGGAAACTAGTTCTGTCGAAAAATGTCAATTTTAAAATTTTAACGGAAGATAGAAACAACAGTAACAATGCCATCCAAGGCGAAAAGCTCGCCTTGGATGGAAGTGCCGACTGAGAAGCAATGGTGGAATATTGCTATGAGCTGGAGACCAAAATTACTTACAGAAAATAATTTACAACTTTATCAAATTTAAAACGCCGACGAAACAGGATTATACTGGCGAGCAATAACTACAAAAACTTTAGTTGCAGGTAATGAGATGAGTGTGCCTGGGTATAAAAAAAGTAAAGACAGGATAACAGTGTTGTGTTGAGCCAATGCGTCTGGCAGCCATAAACTGAAGCTGACTGTGGAAAGTAAAAAAATCCTAGCGCTTTTATTTATTTATTTATTTATATACAGCATCATTATAAATATGAAACAGCAGAGTCTCCCAGTTCACTATTATAACCAGAAGGCTGCCTGGATATCTTGTGACATTTTTAAAGATTGGTTCCATGAAAAGTTCATTCCTGAAGTAAAGTTATATTTGAAGAAAGAAAAATTACCACAAAAGGTAATTCTTCTTCTGGATAATGCTGGTGCTCATCCCAATGAGGCGACCCTAAGATCTGACGATGGAAATTTATTTGTTCTTGTTTTCAGCCAATATTACATCCATTGCTCAACCAATGGATCAAGATGTTATTGAGACAGTGAAACGACTCTACCGAAACTATTTCTTGGGATCTTGGAGGTTCTGTGGTGGTTTAGAGCACATGTCCACGTAGCCAGGCTTTCGTGGCTCTCTCCAATTATTCGACACCGGAAGTGGGTGTTTGTGCTCTTTCCCTGTAAGAGTTTATCTTCAGTGACAATGAGACCATCAGAACTCTCATGAGACTCATTTCTCGGAGTGAAATGCAGCAATTCTCTCACTGCACTTTGCAGCGATGATTACACTAACTATCTAACTATCGATATACTTCCTCCAATGGGAGAATAGCGGGTGAGGTAGTATTCATGTACGAGGGTGTGCTGGGCTGGTAGAGGCTTTGCCCCCAGTCTGCACCTGATGAATTCCCCATTGGATAGTCCCTTATCTTTTAGGAAGACAAAGACTAACTATTTACCCTTGATGAATCCATTTGGCCAATCAGCACCTCCTACATCTTTTTGAATGCCCTTGAGAGGCTAGTAGACCGGTTCATATGTGATGGAGTACTAAGAAGCAATTATCTGCATGTACCTCAAGACAATTACCAGGCTGAAAAGTTTTGTGAGACAGATCCTGTTCGCAGGGTGGAACAAGAGCTTGATCATAGACAGTATGGTCTGATGTCTGGGTATCTTCATGGACATTTAGAGGCAGGCAGCATAGTATTGCTCTATGCTTTCCATGATGCAGAACAACATGGGCCTCCTTTTTAACACTTACCTTCACTATTCCTGATAGTTGCCAATAGGTGAAATGGGAATCAGTACTGGTCTGTTGGAATGAACTCATTTGGTTTACAGAGCATGCAGCTGCTGGGATATATGGATGTGGTATCAGACTTAAGTCCAATCATGTACTCAGTTCCTATACATCTTGATTTCACAGAGATCTTATCTCAACTCCAATCTAGTTAGGGAATGCAAAAGGACCCTAGCTGCTGTTACATTGTATTGTATAACAATGTCAACTTAAAAGAAGAGAAAGGGATGAAACACAGTAAGATGAAAAAGTGTAATAAAAATAATAAATAAGAAGGTATGAGCATATATTGATGAAAGAGAAGATATATCTCTTAACACTGATAATAGATTGGATACCACAAGATAAAATATAAAGCGGCAGTTCTAGGATAAAATAGAGGCAAGAGGATATAAGAAAGATGATGATAAGATAAAGGAGAAAAATAGTAACAGATTTCTCACATAAAAAGAATTAAAAAAAAAGTATAAAACATCTGCAGCTTGTATAATGATTTCACTGTTAAATCTGTTACGAACATGCGTTCAGCAGCTAACAGCGCCCGCCTAACGGTCGCATCTCGAAGCATCGAGAAGTGTCGGCTTTATATCAAGCGCTGTAAAATTCCACCCGTCGAATAACGAATTAGAGGTGGGACTAGTCCCGAATATTCTCGAACATAATACTTTGATATATATATGTAACGGAATTAGGAGTTAAGTTTAGTTGATAAGATAGTATCGAACTGTAAAGTTATAAATAAATATATTTATATAAATTCGAACCGCTCGTTTTATTTAAAAACGGTACAGTTGGTGTCACCGTGTGAGGACAATTGATAAATAGTGTAGATAAATAGAATATAAATTCAACAGTGATTTTTGAAAAAGACTTGAATTTTTGAAAAAGACTTTTGAACTTTTGAAAAGTATTGTTCGTCGGGAACATCCGCGTAGTTCGGTAGTGAACGTTGTACGAAAGAACATTCCAAAAAGTACGTGTGTGCCTGACCAAAGATGCTGCTAGTAGAACTTTCAGTGAAACAGTTGCGTGAGCAACTAGAAGAACGCGATGAAGACTGCAGCGGGTCCAAGAAGATACTACAAGAACGACTGAAGACTGTTCTCAACAAGAATGGAGAAGACCCAGAGACATTCCAGTTCCAGTCAGCAGAAGAAGCAGTTTTAACGAAAATAAAAAATGTGTCGCAAATGATTGAAGAATCTTCTAAAAAAAATGATAGTAAATTTGAAAATGTGTCGCATATGATTGAAGAATCTTCTAAAAAAAATGATGATAAATTCGAGGACGTTTCCAAAAGATTCGATGAAACGTCTCAAATTATTAAAGAAGTAGCTAGACAAAACGACGAGAAACTCGAAAAGGTTTCTAGAAGATTCGATGAAGTATGTACCCAGAACGATGAGAAATTTGAAAAAGTCTCAAGAACATTCGATCAGATGCAGAAAAATGTAAACAACGTAGAAGAGAAGATCAAACAATTAGAGACCATGATAATTAACACGAAAGTGCTGCCACCAATTAATACGGTAGCTTTAGATCCGGTAGTGAAAGAAGAATCACCGAGAGACGAAACGACACATCATATGAGATTCAAATTGCCACCATTTGATGGAAAGTCCTCTTGGTCCATATACCTTAGACAATTTGAAGCTATTGCGACAGCCAATCATTGGACAGAACAAGAAAAAGCCGTTTCCTTGACTGCTGCTTTAAGAGGTGATGCTGCGGATATCCTAAGATCGATTCCTAAGGGTCAAGAAAAATGTTACCAGACCTTGTTTACTCGACTAGACAAACGTTACGGAGATGCCCATCTACAACAAGTCTACAAGGCGCAACTAAGAAGTAGAACTCAGCGAGCATGTGAGAATTTGCAAGAGTTTGAAGCAGATGTTGCTCGTATAGTGCGGTTGGCTTATCCGGAGGTACCAGACAACATTTTGGATGAAATTGCCGTAGATACCTTCGTCAATGGGTTAAAAGAAAGTGAATTACAGAAAGCTTTACGAGTAGCAAGACCGAAAGTTTTAGATGAAGCGCTCGCTATTGCCTTAGAACATGAAACAGCTAGTCAAACTTCACGGAACCATCGAGTAAGAACCATCGAAGAAGGCGACGAACTAAACGATGAACGTCTAGAAGAAATGGTAAGAAAAATAGTTCATAACACGATGCCGAAGAGACGCGAGCCCAGATGTTGGAATTGTGGTGACGTAGGTCACATTCGCCGCAATTGCAAGAAAATGATACAACAGTCGGAAAACTAGAACGGGTCGACACTAAGGGGCAACTGCCGACCTCGAGAAACACAGCCCCCATAGTAACTGTGAACATTACGTCCTCCGGTGGAATTCATAGCTTGTACATCGAGGGTCGTATTAACAATAAATGTAGATCGTTTTTGGTAGATACAGGTGCAACAAGAACTATTGCACGGCCAGAAGTAGTACGAGACCATCTTAAATTATCGCCTGCAACAGTAAAGCTTAGAACAGCAACTGGTGAGATAATTAATACATATGGCGAGGCTAATATGTCAGTATCCATTGGCCAGACCACAGTGAAACATAGAGTATTAATTGCAGAGATCTCCGATGAGTTCATATTGGGGATGGATTTGCTACGGAAAGTTGGGGCTGTATTGAATGTCAAAGATGGAGTTCTCGAGATCGGTGGTGAAGAGTTGCCGTTTCATGAAGACAAAGAAGATGTTATCAGCTTAATAACTACTTGTGACGTAACAATACCCGGTAACAGTGAGAAAATTTTGATGGCCAGACCTGATAGTTACTGCCGAGAGGGAAGTTTAAGGATGGTCGAAGATGTGAACAATGCCGAGTTCCTAACGGCAAAAGCTTTGGTGAGAATTCGAGATGTCGTTCCTGTAAGAGTTATGAATTTAAAAGGAACTGCTATTAAGTTAAGTAAAAGAACTTTGATCGGACAGTGTGTTCCCGTGGCTTCGATTTGTTCCATGAGTACTAATGAGAAACCGTCGAAATCTAAGTATCCAAAGGAGCTTGTAGAGACGATGATTAAAACGTGCCAAGATCTTGATGATGAACGAACTAAAAAAGTAAAGTCTATGCTGATAGAATTTCAAGATGTTTTTGCCATTGATAAGAAGGATAATGGCAAAAAAAGCATAGTAAAGCATAAAATTAATACCGGAGACGCTCAGCCAATCAGACAACAACCTAGACGACTTCCATTTGCGAAAAGAGATGAAGCCGAAGACATCATCAAAGATATGAACAAACAAGGGGTAATTGAACCATCAAACAGTCCATGGACATCACCAGTAGTGCTAGTAAAGAAGAAAGATGGTTCAACACGCTTTTGTATTGACTACCGACAGCTCAATGCGGTAACTAAAAAAGATAGTTATCCTTTGCCCAGAATAGACGATACTTTGGATACACTTTCTGGTTCTCGTTGGTTCTCCACACTCGATCTGAAAAGTGGATATTGGCAAGTAGACATGGAGCCAGCTGATCGTGAGAAAACCGCATTCTCGATAGGATCAGGGCTTTGGCAGTTCACAGTTATGCCCTTTGGTTTATGTAATGCTCCGGCCACATTTGAAAGATTAATGGAGGCAGTTTTAAGAGGTCTAACATGGAAAACATGCCTGGTTTATTTGGATGATGTAATTGTAGTTGGAAGATCCTTCGACGAACATGCCAATAATCTGACCGAAGTCTTTCAACGATTGCGGGCAGCGAATTTAAAGTTGAGTCCGAAGAAATGTCACTTGTTTCGAAGAGAAGTGAAGTACTTGGGACATATTGTAGCAAGTAATGGAGTAACAGCTGATCCTGAAAAACTTGCAGCAATTAAGGATTGGCCGAGTACCAAGAGATAAACACGAAATTAGAAGTTTTCTTGGCCTTTGTACATATTACCGACGTTTTGTCAAAGGATTTGCCAACATCTCCAAGCCATTAACTAAGTTGACAGAAGAAGGCAAAGAATATACATGGAGCGAAGAGTGTCAAAGAGCTTTCAAACACTTACAAATGGCTCTGATCAGCGCACCGATTTTAAGCTACCCTAGACAGGCAGGAAAATTTGTGTTGGACACCGATGCAAGCAACAGTGCAATAGGAGCTGTTCTCTCCCAAATCCAAGATGGGCAGGAGAAAGTCATCGCTTACTTTAGCAAAGTCTTGTCGAAACCAGAAAGAAACTATTGCGTTACCAGGAGAGAATTGCTAGGCGTAGTAAAGGCTTGCGAGCATTTCCATAAGTACTTATATGGCAGAAAGTTTCTTCTTCGCACGGATCACGCTGCTCTAAAATGGCTCCTACAATTCCGTAATCCAGAGGGTCAGATGGCAAGATGGTTAGAACGATTACAAGAATATGATTACGAGATCGAACACAGGGCTGGAAGAGTTCATTTAAATGCTGATGCGCTTTCGAGAAGGCCGTGCAGTGAACATTGTAATCACTGTCTTAAATTAGAAGAAAGACTTTGTCCTGTGAGACGAACCACCGTCATTAATGATCAATGGCAGCCACAACAGCTACAAGACGCTCAAGCAGATGATCCATGTATAAAAAGAGTATTGGATTGGGTGCGTCGAAGTGAAAGGCCTTCTTGGCAAGACATTAGTGCATGTAGTCCTGAAGTCAAGTGTTACTGGAGCCAATGGAATTGCCTAGTGCTAAAAGATGATCTTCTTTATAGAACCTTTGAGAACGATGATGGTACAGAAACTAAGCTTCAGTTGATTGTACCTAAAAGTAAAGTGTCAGAAGTATTGCGTCAGTTGCATGACGGCGCATCAGGTGGACACTTTGGTATTACGAAGACTCTGCAAAAGGTTCGAGAACGGTTCTATTGGGTGAACTGTAAAGATGATGTAAGAAGATGATGCCGGAAATGTGAACTGTGTGCAACTAGTAATGGTCCAGTTGGTAAAAAGAGGGCACCCATGAAACAGTACAATGTTGGTAGTCCTATGGAGAGAGTAGCAATCGATATTGCAGGTCCACTTCCAGAGACAAATGATGGAAATAAATATATCCTGGTAGCCATGGATTATTTTACGAAATGGACGGAGGCCTATGCGCTACCAAATCAAGAAGCTGCTACCGTTGCAGAGGTACTGGTTAAAGAATTCTTTAGCCGATTTGGTGTTCCCTTGGAGATCCACTCCGACCAAGGGCGAAACTTCGAGTCAAACCTTTTCCAAAACGTTTGTAAATTGATTGGCGTCAATAAGACCAGAACGACACCCTTCATCCTCAATCAGATGGAATGGTCGAGAGAATGAACCGAACGATGGGTAAACACCTGTCCAAAGTTGTATCAGAACATCAAAGAGATTGGGACCAGCACATTCATTTATTCCTAATGGCCTACCGCTCGGCCGTGAATGAAACTACGGGCCAGACTCCAACCTGCCTGATGTTAGGTCGTGAAGTTCGTTTGCCCTGCGACCTAGAGTTTGGCTGCAGACCTTCTGAAGAACATGTTGCAAGCGAAGATTATGTCGACCGCCTAAAGTTAAGAATGAACAACATTCATGAACTTGCCCGACAACACATCCAGTTAGCCAGTGCAAGAATGAAAGCTATGAAGTAGGTGATCTTGTTTGGCTTTATAATCCCCAACGTCGTCGTGGCTTGTCTCCTAAACTGCAAAGACAATGGGAGGGTCCGTATGAAATTAAAAAGAGAATAAATGACGTAATATACCGAATTAAGAAGTTGCCGAAAGGTAAACCAAAAGTAGTTCACATAAATCGTCTTGCACCTTATGCTGGCTCAAATGAAACCGAAGAAGTCCGAACCCTTCAACATGAGATCAAAGATGATCGGCGACCAAGCTTTAATGAATTTATGTCAAATTACGCAGAGAGAAACGAGTGCTAGATTCGGCGTGACGACAGAAGTTCAGCAGGATCTTTTTAGTGTTCCACATAACGTCTCTCTAGCCCACTGCGTTGCCCAAGATCTTGAGATGACTAAAGGAATCTCGTCCGTATTTTATAAGAAATTTGGTCGCTTGGACGAGTTAAAAAACCAGCAGCCTAAAGTTGGAAGAGTGCTGAGATTAGAAGATGGTTCTCGATCTTTGTTGTATATGGTGACCAGAAAGTCGTATACAGACAGGGCAAGCTACGAGGATATATGGCGTGCTCTGACTAATTTGAAGAAAATCGTCTGCAATTACGACATTAAGAACTTGGCTTTACCCAAGATAGGCCATTGCACTAGATAATCTGGATTGGAAGATTGTCAGAAGTATGCTTGAAGTGATCTTCCGAGAAACTGGTGTAAGAATTACTGTGTGTTGCATTAATCTGAAGAGATCGTGTCCTTCAAAGACAGTAGACTGTTATTTCTTTCTGAGGGGTTCATGCAGAGCTGGAGAGTCCTGTAGATTCCGCCATCCTGGACCTATAGATAGAGTTCCTGATCGGGACGCTCAGATCTAAGAGGGGAGCAGTGTTACGAACATGCGTTCAGCAGCTAACAGCGCCCGCCTAACGGTCGCATCTCGAAGCATCGAGAAGTGTCGGCTTTATATCAAGCGCTGTAAAATTCCACCCGTCGAATAACGAATTAGAGGTGGGACTAGTCCCGAATATTCTCGAACATAATACTTTGATATATATATGTAACGGAATTAGGAGTTAAGTTTAGTTGATAAGATAGTATCGAACTGTAAAGTTATAAATAAATATATTTATATAAATTCGAACCGCTCGTTTTATTTAAAAACGGTACAAAGCATTGAATAGCCATCTTTGTTTTAAATCCCCACATGGATAGATGAATGCATATCCTTAACTAGTAAAACTGAGATTCATTAACTCTGTTCAGATATTGCATTAAGACAAACTGTACATGCAATAGTGCAATATACATAACAATACTTACATTTACTGCTGCATGGTAATAAAGAATCCCTATGGGAACAATTCGATATTAAGTATATGTAATTTAATATAGGTAAAAGCAGCATAGTTCCATAATATTCTTCGAATTTAAACATAATACATAAAATCCAGATTTAGTGCACTTTTAACTATTTAACTTAAGGCAATCATTATTTTTCTTTTATGTTAAAAAAGTATACTTAATTGTGGCTATGATGCAGCAAATTCAGGTAATGGTCTTAATTTTCTATGTGCCTTATATAAAAATGTTTACAAATACTGTGAAATGCATGAAGTTGATTAATATTTTATTATTTAAATGGTCTAAGTGAAAGTTTTAAGTTCCTTTATATGAACAAGACAGTAACAAGTAGACAGTAAAATACAATAACTGATAACAACAAATTCATAATAGCTGTAGGATTATCTTTACACTTTAAGCAACTTTTGCCCTTTTAAAGTATATGAAAATTTTTTTCAGTAATATGTTCACAGTTAAGTATTTTATTGATATTTTAGGTATATTGAAATCACTGATCAGTTAATATAAGCAACAAAATCTGAATGTATTACTAACCTCTCCATTCCACAGTCCTGTGGATTTTGCATACTCCTGAAGACCTTCAGAATGTCTATCAAATTTTGTACTAATAGTTACAGCATTGGATATATTTCTATATCCACCTAAAAGCATAAATTGCAAATTAAAAATAATTCATAAAGGTATTGATCATTTTTCTAGTTTACTATCAAATTTATTCTAAATATTTATTACAGACATACGTAAGTAAATGGTGCTTTGCTATTTCATCAAATCAGCTTACTTGTAATTTTCTCAGCTACCCAATGCTTTCCAGAGGTTTCTAACACCCAGGCTATTGATGCATCAGCAATTAAAAAAGAATTGTGGTAAATTAGGCTACTATCGGTATTGGAACAAGGTCCACCTTGTCCATATTTTTCTAATAATTGGGTTATTACTTCCAGAGCTTCTGTAGCAGTTGCACTTCGTTCTAGGCCCAATCTAAATGGAAAAAATAATGACTTGAATACTTGTATACAAATAGCTTAAATATATAAACTTCAGTATCAGTAACATATACCAAGGCATATTTAATATTGAATGCAAAATAAAAATGCCATATAGTAATAGATTCAAAATAAAGAAACTTTTAATTTGGCCATCCTGCCTCAACTAGTTTTAATTTCTGGTCACTATAATTCTGTATATTTCAGACACATAATCATATTACCTTAATAGATCCATTCCAAGAAGTCTTTTAACACTGGGATCATGATCTCCAGAATTATCATTGGTCCATATTGCTTCATTGCCTATAACTACACCACATTCGTTTGCTCCCATTTCTGCTCCCCACATCCAATTAGGTTTGCTTAAGATGACACTCTTGGTAGGCCCTGCAGATTCTACTTCTATGTATGTACACTACAATTGTTAATTAAAGTAGGTAATATAAAAAAGTAAATATAATGAAAAAATGTTAGGTTTTATTCTGATAATTATTTCAGACATGAATGTAACCTTTGTAGATCTCTTACAATAATAAAAATATATGAATACTAATATAAAAAATAAAATATAAATCATTTTTTTTTAACTAGAATCCTATGAAATGAAATAAGCGTTGTTTGGTGACATACTTTAATTGAGCCTGGCTGATCACCTCCCGGAATGTAAACTACCTCTTGAACTTCACCCTTGGGCCTATCTGAATTTTTACCAAAAATAACCCCATGTTTGGTCAATGGTGGCATGACCACAAAGGTGTCACAGGAACTGGGTAGTTGTCTCATCTGTAAAATAGCAGTGTTTTAATATATGTTAGAATATATTACTATACTTCATTAAAAAGTAGTGTAAAGATTAAACCCTTAAAGTGAGGAGTACATATGGAATCAGTTGATGATGTGTCTTGAAAAACATATAACTAAAATTTTACTACTTTACTTGTTAGTTAAATACTAAATCGGCATTTCTACTTTGCATACGTTTCTCTATTTTAATTAAGATATTATAAGAATGTCTAGAAATTAATGAAACTCAAACTTCTTTTGGTACTTAAGGGCGACATTTAGTATTCAAATTTAGTGAAATAAAAAGTCTTCTCAATGAAAGGAAAAACAGTATTTAAAAGTAAACATTTACCATTCTTGTAAAGACTTTTAGCATCACACAAAGCACTAATACTGTCAGTAAATTATTATAAAAAGATTTAATGTGAATTGCCGTATATCGACTGCAAAATTATAATTCTTTATCTGACACCTGACACTGACAGAAGCTGTCCTGAAATTGACATGACAGTGACAGTAGATACTTGGAGATGCTAGACAGTTTACAGAAAATTCAGCAACCATCAGAGATGATTTCTTTTCCAACCAGAGAATAGCCTATAATTATGCCTGTAAGATATGCAACCTCTCTTACATATCTCTTTTGGCAATCAAGGATGCAACAAGTCTTCTATGCGTCTAGTATATTCTTTGGATGTAATATTATTATCCATTGTCAACAACCCTTATAAACATCATCACAATATTATTTACAAAAAACTAAACCCTAAAAATTTTTAATAATAACAAATTGTTTGATTATTTTTATATGAAAAGAATAGAATGCTGTTATATTATAATTTAATGTAGCTATATAAAATCATTAAAATATAATCGATGTCTTTGGTAAAAAAATAGAAATTGAATGAGAAATCTATTAAATGGTATACTCATCATTGAAATTTTTGAATTCTGCTTTCTTGACCAATATATTCATCTGATATAGGTGTCAGTAGTATATTGGTTATTCCCCTATTTATTTCAGTAGCGCTATATTTCCACCAGGTTCGTATTATTAATATATGGAATAAGTTCATCGCTTTCTAAAATGTACCCAAATATTTTCCAGAAAAGCTGAATGACTTTTATAAACACTCTGAAGTTGAATGAAGATGAAGGACGTTATTCAGGTTCTCATAGACATAATGTGCAAGCTGTGGCCCAACAACATAAGTATTTTTTATCTACTGTAGACAACCTAGTTGGATAGTTTTGTTGATGTTGTCTTGCGTAAAATTAAGTAGAGTTAAATGGTAAATAGTGGTGTATTCCAGAGAGTTGAAATATTTATAATAAGTAATTGGTTGGATAAACCGATTATTTGGTCATTGTACACCCAGGGCTCTTCTTTCAAAGCTACATCGAATCATCATCGATGTGCAACAAGTTAAGATGTACAGTAAGAACGGTTTATAACAGACGGCTTAAAAAAAATAGTGCCACGCACGAACACAGATTAATAAACAGGAAGAACTTTATATTCCATCAGTTAAACAACTTTAAAGTTAAAATAATTTTATAACTAAAATATTCGTTTCTAGTTACACTATTATATTCAACGTCATTTTATTTAATTTTACATTAAAACATAACAATTGATAGATTACAACATTTTTTAACATGATGGTTACTTTATCAAGTGTTCAAAATGTGCTTCATTTGTGAGTTGAGAGTACCCTAATAGATGGTAGAATGCGTCTACCACATTTCTCCATGATTGTCTAGAAATTATTCGAGATTCATTGATAATTCGTTGCCTTAGCTCTGCAAGACTTGCTGGTTTAATTTTGTAAACTGAATGTTTTAAGTATCCTCGATAAAAATAATCTTTAGGATAGAAATCAGGTAAATGTTTAGGCCATTCAATTCTACCATTATTTCGTGCGTGAACAGTTGTCGTGCTTACACGTGTATATTAAAAGTTTAGTACAATCAATAGTTTTAGAAGACAATAGTAATTATTTGAAAATTAGTTATAATTGTGGTTATAAGGGTGTTGTGAAAGATTAGTGCATTCATATGGATGTGGATGATGGGGGGAAACCCCTCCTCTGCCGGACCCTATAGAAAACTTAGATCTAGGAAATAATCAGATAAGTGGTTCAAATCATTTAAATTTAATTATAGATTCTTCTGCATTGAATCGGAATATTAAAGATAAAAAAAATAAAAAACAAATTGTATTACAGGATAAGATAGATGAGGCTAGTTCTAATCCATAATCAAGTTTTTCTGTTAACAATAATAATAATGAATCGAACAAAAAAGTAATAACAACATTTCTTTATCAGTCTACTGATATAGGCCCGTTTCAGATTTACATTGAAAATAAAATGGATAATTATTTAGGCCCAATAAACGCAATAAAAGTTGGAGAAATAATTTTGACTTCACATCCGGAATTAGACAAAAAAATAAAACAAATTCAATCGATAGGAAGAAATCGAATTCGGGTTTTTTGTAAGGATTATTTGAGCGCTAATATATTGTTAAAATCTCATATTTTAGAAAATAAAAACTTGTCTGCTTATATTCCCAAATTTTTAATATTTCGATTAGGAATTATTAGATTCATTGATAAAGATTTATCAGTTGAATATTAAAAAAATAAAATTAGGGCCTATGATTTTCATTGTAAATTTGAAGTGGAATTTGTTAAAAGAATGAACGGAAAAGTAAAAAACTCAAATAACGAAACAGAATTAATACCTACAAGTACTATTTTGGTTTCCTTTAAAAGTCAAACTTTACCTAAGTATATAGAAATTAATAAAGTTCTTTACGAGGTAGAAGTTTATAAACAAAGAGTTGTAATGTGTAATAATTGTTACCGTTATGGACATATTAGTAAACAATGTCGAAGCAAAATAAGATGTCTTAAATGTTGTCAGAGTCATGACACAGTTACCTGTGTAATGAAATGCAAAACCTTTATAAACTAGGTTTTAATATACAAGAAATTAGCATTGTTTTGTTTGAATGAATAACATGACAATTACATATGACATTAACTAAAACTAAGATGACAAATGACAAACACAGTTCACAGACCACAGGACATTCACCCCAACTTTATTTTTGAACAAAGTCTTTAAGGTAAGCAGGAGTGTTTCTTTCCCTGGTACCTCTTCTAATAAGACTGTGTTTATTTTCTTCCTCTAAAACACTTTCAATATGACCTTGATCTTCCAGAATGTTAACAGGAGAAATATTTGGATTTTCCTCACATATACTCAATCTAGGGCTTGGTGGATCTTTGATAAACTGTTCATTAGAAACCGCAGATTCCGATCCACTAACACAGTCCAGAGATGCATCTCCTCGTGGTGCAAGTTGTCTTAAGGCTACTGTTGTTTCTTTACCATCTTCACGTCTAACAACAGCATAGTTTGGATTTGCTTCAATTAGCTGTACTTCTTCAACGAGGGGTTCATATTTGGACTGCCTCACATTTTTTTTCATAAATACTTTTCCGGGGGTTATCAACCATGAAGGAAGTGCAGCTCCATTTATAGCTTTTCTGGAATGATGAAACATTCGCTCATGAGGGGTACTGTTTGTAGATGTACACAAAAGAGAACGAATTGAATGAAGAGCTATCTCAACTACTTCTTCCCACTGTTCAGTTTTTAAATGTTTAGATTTTAATGCAAGAGAAATAGTTTTCCATATAATTCCATTATATCTTTCTGTCTGGCCATTTCCTTCAGGATTGTAAGATGTTGTTCGGCTTGTTGGTATTCCTTGTGAATGGAGAAATGTTTTGACTTCTTGAGACATAAATGCCCCCCCTTGGTCTGAATGGATATAACTAGGCATTCCAAATAAAGAGAATAAGTTTGTAAGACACTTCACAACAGTTTTCGCTGAAACATCTTGACATGGATATACAAAGGGGAATCGAGAATATTCATCAACAATTGTTAGGATATATTTGTTATGAGATCTAGATGGAAGCGGTCCTTTAAAATCCAGAGACAATCTTTCAAAAGGCGAAGTAGCTTTAATTAATCTCCCTTGAGTTTTCAAAAACTTTGGTTTTATTTCTGCACAGATAGGACAGCGATTGGTCATTTCACGGACTTCATCAATAGTATATGGTAAGTTGCGTGTCTTTATCCAATGGACCATTCTGGTGATTCCTGGATGACACAAGGATTGATGTAGTTCAAATAGACTTGGTCGAGGATTTATTGAACAGCTCACTCGTGAGAAAGTATCTGGCACTACATTCTCAACTCCTGGTCGGTACTGAATATCGAAACTGTAGCATGATAATTCAAGGCGCCATCTGATAATCTTCTCATTTTTTATCTTACTAGTGTGGCGCATATTGAACATAAAAGAGACAGACTTTTGATCAGTTATAAGTCGAAAATGTTTACCTATCAAGAAATGTCTCCATTTTCTAAGAGCTTCCACTATTGCATAAGCCTCTTTTTCCACTGATGAATGATTTCTTTCACTTTTTGATAAGGTTCTTGAAAAGAAAGCAACAGGTCTTCCTCCTTGGCTAAGAGAAGCAGCAATACAAAAATCTGAAGCATCAGATTCAACGATAAAAGGAATCTTGTCATCAATTGTAGTAACAGCTGAAGAAATAATTTCAGATTTAAGAATTTGGAAAGCTTCAGCTGCTTGTTCTGTTAAAGGAAAAGTATTGCATGTGACTAGTTTTTGTATCTTTTCTGAAAATTGTGGGATAAATTTGGAATAATGTGCAAACATTCCGACAGCTCTCTTTAGTGATTGTGAATCGTTTGGTAAGGGTAACTTCTTTAATGGTTCAAGTCTTTCAGGATCAGGTTTTAAGGTCTGATTTTCTATTTGATAACCCAAAAGTTTGATTGAATTTAGTGTATAAGAACTTTTATTTTGATTTATTGTTAGATTGTATTTCTTCGCTACTTCCATAAATTTATTAAGATTTTCATTATGTTGTTGTTGATTTAATCCACAAACCGTAATGTCATCAAGATATGCATACACACCTTTTAAATGTTCGGATTTAATAATACCATCGATAACCCTTTGAAAACAAGCCACTCCGTTGGTTACCCCAAAAGGAATCCGGCAAAATTGGTATAGTTGGCCGTTGGCTTCAAAAGCAGTGTATATTTTCTCTTCATTTTTAATTGGAATTTGATGGTATGCATTTTTAAGATCAATAGTACTGAAGACAGAATATCTTGCTACTTTTCTAACAATATCTTCAACATCTGGGAGAGGATAGGCATCTAAGTAAGTAAATTTATTAATTGTTTGTGAATAATCTACCACCATTCGCTTTTTGTGTGTTTCACTTTTTGTAATAAGTACTTGTGCACGCCAAGGAGAGTTGCTTTCTTCTATGATTCCATTCGATAGCAGATACTGTATCTCGTCAGATATGAATTTTCTATCTTCAGTTGAAAATTTTCTTGATTTAGTTGCCCTCGGTTTGCAA